GAGGTATTTCTTGAGAATTAGACTCAGTGGTTAGGAAAAATGTTCTACGTTCAATTATCTACATTTTGACATGAATATTAATAGGATTCATGTTCAAGTTCATCTTGAGTTGATGAAAGGGGATGTTGATTTTTGTGTTTTATGGGTTTTGAATAGTTAAGTGATTTTAAAAAATTGGTTGTAAGATTGTTGAAGAACCTAAGGATGAAGTTGAAGAAAACATTTATATTTTGAATTTGGCAGTGGGTTTGGAAATTTACCAGAAATTATATAAAAATAATTTGGAGGTTATTTTTATATATATTGTTCATATATTGATCTAGTTATGTTTTAAAAAAACGGGGATCAATTTTAAGGTTATACAAAGAGATATGAATTTTTAACCAAGGAAAGGTCAGAAACAAATCTGACAGCAGATTCTGCAAAACAGATTCTGTTGATCAACTTTGAAAATTCACCATAAATTGTAAAGAATGAATTAGAAGGAGTTATTAGAATGGATAGATTCATATTCGAGTATATAGTTTTCAATGGAATAAACGGAATTGAATTTCAGTGTGTATATCAATACATAATATTGATTCTTTAAAGGTAGTGCGAGTTGTCTGAATATGGAAAATTGATGGGTTGTTGTGTAAGTGTAGTATAATTGATGTACTATGCTGGAATGATTGGTATTAAGAATTTAAGTGGTAAAATGGTGAAGGACCATTTTGAGTAAATTGGAAAAGTTTGTTCCAATATTAAAAGGAATTAATAAGAGTTAAAGTAATTAGTGGTGAATAGTTTGAAGTATGATTATGGAATTTATTTTGTAAATGTATTTATGTTAGTACAATACTAACATATATATGGATATGAATCTATATTTTGTACATATCGTGATTTACTCGGTGTTCAAAATGATTCGAGTATAAAAGAAAAGAGTTATTGTGGACAATAGTGAGGCTCATATTTTGGAAAATTATAAAGTGTCAAGGTGAGTGCAATACATGCATGAAATTATACATGGATGTTTTATACATCATCAGGAAGACTTGCGATAAGTCAACCTTGTTTATATCAGCATGATATTATGTTATTTTTATAAATTGACATAACATTGAGATGTCACCGTATGAAATTATAATGCATTGATTATGGAAAATGTGATATTTTACCATGAATATTTTTGGGTATGAGCTGCTCATTGTTAAATTATGATAATATACTTTGCCATGGATGGATCAAATAAAATTGACTATATGCCCAAGTATGTTATTGAGGATCAGTGGTATTAATGGCATGACATAGAGTCTAACAGCTGCAATAATAGGCAGTACTAGAGTGTCTAGAGAAGACACATAGTGCAGGCCTCAAAGTGTCTAGCGAAGACACAGTACAAGCACTATGGTGCATTATTAGGTGAGCAAAGCTCGACCTCAGCACTTCAATGCAATATTTGACTCCTATATCAGGTTCCTCATACAGTTATACTATGGGATATGAGTTATAGTTTATTAGTTAATAAATGGTAAGTATGCAAATAAGCTTACGAGCTTATGAATAATGGCAAGTATATTGATAAAATAAGCTTACGAGCTTATGAATTTAAATGGTAAGTATTTTGGTAAAATAAGCTTACGAGCTTATGGGATAAATGGTAAGAGATTTTATATTATTTTGATCATGGTAAAATATTGGATATGTTAGTAAAATGATTTTATGGCATTTTGAATTTGACATTGAAATTCATGCATGGATTGTATTACACTGTTTATTGTTTTAATTGCCTCACTAAGTTTATACTTAGCGTGTGATGATTTTTACGCGTAGGTAAAAAGCCAATAATGGAATAAAGAGTTCAAAGTGACATCAAGCATCGAGGAGTATATTTCAATATCAGTAAGACATCCTATGATGGAATTTGATTTAGATAGTGGCATGTAATTAATAATGTTTCAATTTATTTTGTTAAATTAATTTAGAAACAAAACTGGAAAATTTATAGTGATGAAAGGTTAATATCAGTACCCACGTTAATAAAATTTTCCAAAATGCTTAAAGGGAATCGATTCCCCTGCTACAGGAATCGATTCCCCTGCTACAGGAATCGATTCCCCCACTGTTCATTGTTAATGTTCACTGTTACTGTTCACTATTCATAAAAAAATCTTTTGAATTAAATTTGTTTATAATGAAACGTAATTTGTATGATATGATATTTTTATAATATCAGTTACCATTTTAAGAAAATAAATTTTAATCGAGTTTTGAGATGAAAATGTTTTTAGAAATTCGGGTGACATCTATAATCTGTATGATATAATTATACGGGTTATGGGTGTTACTCAATTGGTGATCAAGAGAAGCTATAGAAACAAAAGAGAAAGCCTTAAACATCAAGTTTGAGCAATTCAAGCCAAAATCCATTCAATATTCATTTTGCTTTCAAGAACACAATTTGTGCTCAATTGTATTAATTTTTTAGTGTTTTTTCTTTGTTCTAGAATTGTGCAAACATCTTACCTTGTGAGATTTTTCTGTAAGTATGCAAAGTTTGTAATTTTCTCTTTGAGAAGAGAGTGTCTCAAGAATTTGGGGTATAATTCTTGAGGGAGTTGTAAGGTTACTCTTTGTCCTCAAAAGAAAGACAAATTAATGAATTTTTGGAAAATCCTTAGTGTGGATAGCTAAGGTAGTGGACGTAGACTTTGGTTGAGAAAGTCGAATCACTCTAAATCGTTGTGCAAATTATTTCTATTTTCTGTCAAAGCTTCCACCAAAATTTTAATTGTCAATTCACCCCTCTTGGCTATTTCATCCGATCAATTAACTCAACAGAGTTCACTTTACATTAAAAAAATGGGCTCTAATTAAATTTTTAAAAATTTGAGAGGCTTAATAAGAATTTTTAAAAATTATGAGAGGAGTTTAATTAAGAACATTCTAAAATTTTAAATCTTAATATGAATTTCTAGAAATTTTGAGGGGGCTAAATTAATATTTTTAAAAATTTAAAGGTCTAAAAGTATATTTTTAAAACTTTTTGGGGGTCATGACCCTCACATGTCCTCACCTAATTCTACCATTGATTTAAACAATATGAAACTACTTACCACTTGAACTAACCTCGTTCGTTATTGTTTTCTTTTTCATTGTTAAGTCATATAAATTATGCACGTTGATGTAGCACGTTTATTGCCTCGCCATCTTATCTTGCACTAGATTGGGAGCATGTATTCTGTTTCACTTACATTGGATGGGATGGACGAGCCCACGGGGGTCTTTATTAAGGTGGTCGGTATTCTAATCATATGCGTACTAATTTAGTTTTAATACTGGAAAATTTATTAAGATATGCATAAATATTAACTAATATAGTTTTAAAGAAATTGAAATATAAAAACTAAATTAATTAGGATTAAAATAGATATATATCAAGTAAACCGTCTGTAAAAATTTATATGAAGACTAAAATCATTTTTCAAAAATATTTTTGTATAACACTTTTCAAAATACTTTTAAAAACAATAAATTAGTATGAAAAATATGGATACAATATGACATACATGGTGTTATTACTAATGGGATAAGTTCAAGTGATAAACAACTTGATATCATTTAAATATATATAGAGTTTAAGTTATTGTGTATGCAGAAAATTCCTACTGAAAGACTCACCCACCATAATTAAGTGTGTGACCCAGATAATTTCGAATTAATTTAGACAAATTTTAAAATCGGAATGAAAAAAAACGTGAAAAACGTCATAAGCCACATAGGGTAATAATGATCTGTTTGACCCTTCATTATCATTTATTATCTCCCTAAATAAGGATTGATATAATATATAAAATCTATGAAGACTTTAGTGAAGAAGTTTGGCGCACACTCACATATATATTTATATATATAGAGAGAGAGAGAGAGAGAGAGGAAAGTAGAAAATAAAGAGTGGGTGGTGTAAGTGGTGCTTTGCCAAACAGGTGTGAAGGGCGATGGAAATTGGATAACTAACTGCTGCCTGCTTTTTTTCTGATTTGATTTGTTTTGCTTCGCCAACCCCACCGTTCTATCTCTTTCATCTCCCATTCATATATACGAGGAGAGATGGACCGAAGACGAATTACTCCTCGAAAATTTAAAATTATTTTATATTTAAAATATTTTTATATACTTTTTATAGATTTTTTTTGTTTTTTAAAGTTTATAAAAAGTTAATTGCATCATATGTTCTTAGAGTATAACCCTCATTTTAAATTAATCCTTAAATATTTTTCATCCTCAAACTATGAATCTTATTCTAATTAGTCTTTAAACTTATAAACATTCTAATTTCATCCCTAAACTATGATCCTCTTTCTAAATTGATCCTTAAATTTTTGAATATTTTAATTTTATCCTCGAATTCATTCAAATATGTAATTTGTTTCAACCATAGTTTAACCTAAATTTATTTTTTTCAAACATATAATAATATAAATTGGCCTAATGATTTTATTAAGAAGGAGTGTGACTAGTATATACATATAGTTTGGGATGAAATTGGAATGTTCAAAATGTTTGAGGATCAATTTAGAATGAAGGTCATAGTTTGGGGATGAAATTGAAATATTCAAAAGTTTGAAGACTAATTTAGAATCATAGTCATAGTCTAGAGATAAAATTGGAACATTAAAAAGTTTATGGATCAATTTAAAACAAGATTTATACTCTGAGGATATGTGATGCAATTAACTCTTTATAAATTTATTATATTCTATAAAAATTTAATCCCCTAACCTAAAATCTTACTTCCCTATTCCCATAAGAGCGAATAACAAATAGCGGTACTTGGAAGTAGGCGAAGCGTTCCCGTTAACAGTCGCCTATAGCCAGGCCTTGTTGAGTTTTCAGAGTGAAGTAAAGTGAGCACTCAAAAAAAAAATCATCGATTTCCCTTTCCTTATTCGTCTTTAGCTATATAACCCCACCTTCTTTCTCAGGTCAATACAATATATATCTATACGCATCTCTCCCACTCACTCACACTATAAATATCACCTCAGTACAAACCCTTATTCTTCACTATTCTTCTTCTTTGTTTTTGCAGTGTTGGAGAGATATGGGAGAAAATAGCAATGTAAATCTTCCCCCTGGGTTCAGATTTTATCCTACCGATGAAGAGCTTGTGGTTCACTTCCTTCAACGTAAGGCTGCCCTCTTGCCTTGCCACCCTGATGTCATCCCTGATCTTGAACTCTATCCCCTTGATCCATGGGAACTTGATGGTATTTACTCTATAAACATCAGCTAAACAATCATTATCTGTTTTCCCTTTTTCAAAATGGTTAAATTTGGAATGTTTTTGATAGGCAAAGCTTTGTGTGAGGGCAACCAGTGGTATTTTTACAGTAGGAGGACGCACAACAGGAGTACAAGAAATGGATATTGGGAGCCAATGGGAATAGATGAGCCTGTTGTGAATAGCATCAGCAGCAAGAGAGTTGGCATGAAAAGGTATTTAGTTTTCTACATCGGAGAAGGTGGTCCGGCTGCCATCAAAACCAATTGGATAATGCAAGAATATCGTCTCTCCGGTTCTGATTCCGGCACGGGAAAATCATCCAAACGCGGTGGACATTCCAAAATAGTCAGTATATTTGCATAAAATAGTTAGTTTTGAGTTTTTGGTTGACATTTATCTTCGATATTATCTAGTTTTGTTGATTTTTGGTGATGTGTTAGGATTACAACAAATGGGTTGTCTGCCGAGTTTATGAAAGAAATTGCAATGAGGACGAAGACGATGACGGAACAGAACTGTCGTGTTTGGATGAAGTGTTTCTATCGTTGGATGATATGGATGAAATTAGCTTGCCATTAAACTAGCTATGATGAGGCAGTCTCGTCGCGTCCCAAATGATGTGTAGTGCTGTACTACTTTTTAAAATGAGGTTTATAAAATATATTATAATAAAAATTAATTTACCAAATTTGAAATTATGAGAGATCTATAAATTTTTTTATCACAGTTCATTATAGAAAATAATTAAAAATACTGTCAAAATCTTTATTTACAATTTTCTCTGTCATTTTCTCAGAACCAAAAGAAAAAATTGTTTTCCCTTCGACGAAAGTATCATTTAGGACTAAAAATTATGCGAATATGGACCCTAAATTTTGAGGCATTGTAACATATGGCATTCGACCGGTGTGATGACGGAGCAAAATATTTCTCAAGATCATAGCTAGCTAGGGTTAATTCCATTTTCCATTATAAATGTTTTATCCAAATGTAGAATGTTGGCATTAATGTGTTTCTAGGGGAATGATATTATCGTCAATTAGTATTAATTCTACAGACTCGTATGGTATTGCTTGATATATATGATAAATTACACGTTTTTTAATTTTAATTATCACTTTTCTTACGTTTTATTCATTTTAAAGACTAATCGTTAAAAATTTAACGACGATGTTGATGTGTCACCATAAGATAATGTTATCATTGAAACAAATTTAAAAATATCACGTCAGCATTTATGTTAATTTTTAACAATAGATTATCGAAATAAAACAAAAATATAACATTAAATATAATTTTAAAATAAAAAATAATTGAGTGACCAAAATAAAATAAAAGTAATAGTTAGAGATAATAAACGTTTTCCCATAAATGTTTATAGATTTCTCTGCTTGTATAATTAATGCTTCTGAAACATGCAAACATTCTGCAAGACTACATACACACATTATTTTGGAAAAAGAATTGAGATAAATTGCTAGGTAAATGTCCGTTTTGCATAAAGTAATTGTACGTATAAAATAGGATAAAGACGGTTTGTAATAATCTATGTATTTGGTAGCGCTCTAAATGAGTAGAGTCAAGTTGAGTATTATTGAATTTAACTCGATTCAAAAAATTTAAAATGAACTTTTATTTGGCTTGAAAATTTACAAGTCTAAAATTTTTAAGTTAACTGAAACTCGATCATAAATTGAAGCTCGTAAAGGCTCGAAAAACCTTAAAATAAATCTTAAACTTAACTTGGTTAAAATTTAAACTCTATCATAAACCTTAAGCACATGAAAACCTTATATTCATTTAAAAAAAACAAACCATAAATGTTAATATTAATAATATATTATTTTTTTAAAAAATAAAAATTTTAATATACTATTTTTTTCGAGTTGCTCACGAGCTTTTCGAGTCGAGTATCAAGTAACTCATTTTGGTTTATTAAGAACTAAGCTCGAGTCAAGTACATTCAAATTGAGTATTTATTAAACTTTGACCGAATCGATCCCAATAGCTCATGATATGTCTCGTCTCATTTACAGTCCTATTTTTGAGTGAAATAGTGAAGTGCAAGGATTATATCAAGCTCAACTCGAGTCCATTTAAATTGAATATTTATCAAACTTTAACTTAATCAACTTTAAATAACTCACAATATATCTCGTCTCATTTCCGATCATATTTTCGGATGAGATAGTGAATAGCAAGGATTACAAGGGAGGGGGAACGTGGAGCCCAAACAGCACTGCTGAGGCTTGGTAGGGCAGGGAGCAATATATATATTTGGGCATTGTAGCCTTTTAATAGCTTTGTCCAACTTTGATGGGTTTTTGGTAGTTGTCTTGTGTCGCAATGCTAAGGAACAAAAAATTCCCTCGGTGCCTACTTAGACAAGCATTCAGTCATAAATGATGCAAGCACTCGCACGCTTTCCAATTCTCCCACACGTATATATATATATAGTAGAACATTTATAAATTATTGCTCGATAAATTAATAATTTCTATAAAAAATCGGTAAATTATTAAGATAATAATTTTTCGAAAGATCCTTATATAAATTTATGATTCCTTTAATATTATAATTTTATAACATTACAAATATAAATAGGACAACTTAGTAAAATATGATTCTATTGTTGTTTGTTTCTTCTTAAATTTAAATTTAGTTGTATTTCACCTATAACTTTCCTTACTGCATCCAAAAAATTCGATGTTGTGTTCTCATACTGCAACAAAAAATTATGAAGAGTTATTGCCGCTATGGGTGTTTCCTTCCGCGTAATTAGTTATAAAGGCATTTTATCATCTTCAGTTTTGGTTGCAAAGCCCCTCAATGAATTTATGTCATGAAGAATAATGTAGTTTGTTGAATAAAAAAAATATTTTTAAATTATTAATTTATCTATTAATTAATACATCTTTAAATTAATAAAATTATGTGGCCCCAACATTATTAATTTAGAGGTTTTAGTGTATATAAACTACATGGGTGGTCTTTTATGTTTTCATTCTGTTTGATTTTGGTCATCGATTAAAAAGATTAATTTTGGTCCCTTAGGTTATTGGTTTGTGCAATTTAATCCCTTGGTCGTTACTCTCGTTAATACATTAACGAAAATCTGAGTTGGCAATTAAAAAAAATCCACTTAAGTCACCAACTGTAATACAAATGGGACTTACAAGCTATTTTTTTTATTAATCTCGAATAAGTATAAGGTAGTATCTGTTTAAAGATAACTATCAATCATTTGACATTAAATGCTTATACCCCTAACATTTATGGTACTCGAACCTGAGACCTCAAATAATAATAATAATTTATTTACCATCGAAATTGCTTGGTTCGTGCCAAGCTAATTGTTTTTTTTATAGAAGCTGCTAATTTTATTAAAAATATAAAATATCCAAAATACGATAAAGGTTTACAATCACAACTGTAAACTAAACGTATAATAACAATATTTTCCTAAGCACAATAAAACTAGCAACTTAAGACCACACAAGGACCATACAAGGAATATGTTAAAAAACCTAACCAAATAAACTCGAACCGCATAAGAGAATAAAACTATTAAAAGACTATCGACATACCACAAATCAAAATCGAGCGATGTAAAAATACTTTCCATAAACGTAAATAGCATATCCAAATTCAATCCGAGGGTCCAAAGTAGGGAATATAATCCTGATAACAAATAAGTTTCATCTCGATCAGTCATGATGATATCAAAATCAACCCTAAAAAATAAACGAAAACAACAACCAAACAATTGAAAACGTGTCATAGAGACAGAGAAAAATGTGTCATAAAGGTATGATAATCGTGCCAAAAAGGCAAATTATTATGAATAAAAAATAAGAAAAAAAATAAAGATACGCTATAATAAAGCAAAGGAAAAATAGCGAATTCTGACGGTCGATAATCAATACCAAGACTGGTGCCACCGCCGATCACAAAGATAGAGAAGAAAAGAGACTAACAGAGACTATAAAAAAAAAGCAAACGCTAAATTTTAGATATTATATATTTTTTACACTTATATATAATACAAGATACAAATTGAGATTAAAAATCTTAACACCCCTTTCTTCTAAATCATAAAGAAGATTGTTCCCTTTATGTAGTTGTTTCGGTGATTACAGGAAGTGCTGTTTTTTTTTTTTTTGAGATCTTAGATTCGAGCAGCTACGTCTGTAGGGTGTTATAAATTATTAATGATTAAACAGGATTTTAGGCAGTTACTACCTTATAATCACCATAGTCCCTAGCACCTTGTGATGAGAAAATATAGGATGTTGAGGTCTTGGGGTTGATTATGAAGCAATAAATTGCAGGAGTTCAAAAGTTCTTGTCTGTCCATAGCTTGTAGCTTGTGAAGCAATACGAACTGTCAAAACAACCATTAATATCCAATACTGGCACCAAAACCGCTGTTGTTCATCAGCTTTGCTCATCAATGGAACAGAACTTTCAAGGAATCTGTTTCCTGAGAAATCAAAGAATAGAAGGTTTCGAAATGAACGTATTCGATGGAGAGATTTTCCCGGAAAATTGATTGTTTGCGAGGGAAAAACTTTTCAGGTTGGCAAAATGCTTCAAGAAACTCTAGTCGCCGGTGACAAGAACTCGTCAAGCACTGTGAATATAAACACAAGCCTAGCGACATTGAGAACGTAAATGTCGTTGTCAACGAGCCTCCGCTCACAGAAAATGCCAATTCTCGTGCAAGGATTACTCTAGTATTAAATTGCGATTATAACGCAGCAGTGTAATGCCCCATATAACATTTTCAAAAGTCACCATAAATCGTATACGCAACATAATTATTTTTAAGAAACAAATCTCATCGTAACTCCCGCAACAACCGCAAGCGTAGCCGCAACACCACCACCGCGACGGTAATCGCAACTGCAAAATTATACTATGGAATTACTGGAAGGATAGCGTTGACCATTGATGCCAAGGTCTTTAACAATGCCATAAAGAGATTTTGAGTCTGACTCATAAATATCAAGTTAGACTTATAATGGGTTAACAGGAGTTAACAGTCGAGAATTAAAATCAAACGGACAATAATGTAAGGGACCAAAAATAATCCTTTTTTAACCAGTGATCAAAATCAATCGAATCGAAAATACAAGCGACCACTCGTATGATTTACCCTAACATATAATAAGATTTTGTTTTAGTATTCTTTTAGCTAGTGTTAGTAGGGTATCCGCAAACATATGATCTTTATAGTATTCCTAATTCAATGGACCATGAATATATATCATTAGTAAGACTGACGTGAGAAACTAAGAAAACCAAAATTCAATTCAAATTATAGTGTTTGAACAATGAATGATTTATAAGTTAAAAAACTATAGTTAATCGGTTGTCAGTTCAAATTTCGTAATTTTATAGTTAAACTTCTTAGTTAAAATGGATTCCTGTATGGTAGAACGATCACTATGTCCGGATCAAATTTTGATTTTAATGAAAATTTACTTTTTGGATTCGTCACTAATATTTTAGATTCGGTTACAGGAAAGAAAGAAAACTTGATAAAGTCACATTTTATAATAGAATCTTTACTATGCACCATCAGAATGAAATCTTTACTTTGTATGAAATGGAATATTTACTGTGTAAGTCACATGTTTTATTGTGGAGAGAAATATTAAAGTCGAATTGTATTGTGAGGGTAAATCAAACATTCTCAATGGCAAGAATTTCTGCGATTGTGGATTGTGAGGTAAAATATTTCGAATTTTTGTTTGAAGTAGACATTGAACTGCTCAATTTTAATAATCAAGTGTCAAACAAGGCTGGTGCGAAGAGAAATATGAAACTGCTGTCTAAGCTATAGGTTCCTGTTAACTCCATAAAAAGGCTACTTTTAAGGCCATTTTCACTTAAGTTATTGTTTGTCTAAGAGTTCATATAAGTCATTTTAGATTCATGTAGTTGCATGTAGTTGTTGTGGTGGTTGTGTTATTTTTACTTTGATAAGGTTCTATTGATGGGAAAGGTGTGGTTGGCTAGTGATGTGCAGGAAACAAGGAGCTTAG